ATGATGACTCTCCTAAACACCACCATACATGGACAAACTAGAAAACATTATGCTTAGCAAAGTTAGTCAACTTACAAAGACAACTATATAATGACACCATTATTATAAGGTAAAACAAGAAAGTGGTTTCTATACCAAAATATAAGGCTTTGAAGACTACAAGGAGGCCAGGAATGGGGTGGGGACAGGGAGAGGGGAGCATACTTTCAATAGTCTGTCAATACCATAATTCAAATATATTTATTTTCTTTTCCAGTCTTCCTTATTCAGTGCCCAGTTTCACATACATATAAAGTGATTGAAAATACTATGGCTGGAGTCAGACACACCTTCGTCCTCGAAATGACTTCTTTGCTCTTTAACATTTCAGAGAAGTCTTGTGCAGTAGTTTATCCGGTACAATACATCATGTAATTAATGTCTTGTCCACTGCTTCTGTGGGTGATGACTGTGGGTCTAAATAAAGTTAAATCCTTGAGAGTACCAGTCTTTTCTCCCTTTATCATGATGGTGTCTATTGGTCCAATTGTGAGGATTTTCTGTTTTCTTTACAATTGGAATCCACACTGAAGGCTGCAGCCTTTGGTCTTCATCGGCAAGTGCTTCAAGTCCTCCTCTCATTAACAAGCAAGGGTGTGTGATCTGAATATTGCAGGTGGTTAATTAGCCTTGCTCCAAGCCTATTTTCACCTTCTTTTTCGTATTGCCCAACGTCTCAGATTGTTTATTTAGCACGCAGATTGAAAAAATGTGGTAAAACGATATAACCTTTATGCACACCTTCCCTGCTTTTAAATCACTCAGTATCCTCTTGTCCTGTTGAAACAACTGGCTCTGGGTCTGTGTGCAGGTTCTGAATAAGCAGAATTAAGTGTTCTGCACTTCCCATTCTTTGCAATGTTATCCATGATTTGTTATGTTCCGTATAATGAACAAAAAGTCCCTTCCTTCATGGAGCTACGTCAGTCAGTGAAGAAAGTAATAAAGAAGATAGAGAAGAAGAAGAAGAAGAAGAAGAAGAAGAAGAAGAAGAAGAAGAAGAAGAAGAAGAAGAAGATTTGTATCCAACTGTGCTAAAAAGAAAAGGAGGAGGGTGAGGTTGCCCAGGGTAAGGAGTGCAGCTACTTAGACAGGATGGTCAGAGACATCAGCGAGGGCAATATCTGAGCTGAGAACTGGTATCTCTGACTAGCAGCCAGCCTTGGGCAGAGCTAGGAGGAGAGTTCTATAAACAGAATTGTACATGTAGAAATTGTTGAATTGGTTTTTGTCCTGCTGCGTATCTTCTCAACAATCACACACACACACAAACCCCAAATAAATATTCAAAGAACAACAACTCAGAGCAGCAACCACAAAGCTCAGAGGCAGGGCTGTGCCCGGCTCACAGGAATGGAGTTGTGGGTGGTGGTTCAAAAGCAATGTGCTTCCAGGAGCAGTTGGGGACAGGGCCTGGGGTCAGATCACGCAGGGAAGGAGAGAGGATTCTATTGCAAATGCAGTGAGAAGCTATTGCAGGGTCTGAAGCAGGAGAGTGATATAATCCTGTTTTCAAAGCGTTTCAGTTTTTGTTCACATGGCTACCGACAGTCTGGAGAAAGGAGTTAGAATTAGGTGATACAGGGGCAGCACTGGACGTGAGGAGAGCAGCCAGGCTACTGGGGCCCTCCAGGTCAGAAGCGATGGCAGCATCATCCAGAGTGGTAAAACTGGGGTTGGAGAGAGGTAGATAGGTCTGAAAGGCATCTCAGAGGTACGGTGGGAGGGTCGTCCTCACATCCAGATCTCCTCTCCTGAACTCAGCCCCATAAATCCCCTGCCTACTTGACACCTTTACCGGCATATCGGACATCCATTTCACATTTTAAGTGCCCGCCGACTCCCCCCGATCGTGTTCTTCCCAGCAGTCATCTTGGATGGCTCTCCTACTCTTAACTGTCCACATCCAATCAGGAATAAATCTGGCTGGCTCATCTTCAAAGTATATCTGTCCTTCATCTACATTGGCCGAGCTGTCAGATTTAAGCCACCATCACCACTCAGTTGGATTACTGCAGTAGCCTCCTCATTGGTCTCCCTGCTTGTCCTTCAATAACCCCGTGCTCTTGTTAAAATGTAAGGCAGAGGGTGAGAACCTTTCCTCCTGCTCAGACCCTCGTGGCTTTTCATCTCAGACACAAGCCCTCTGTTCCCTTTCTGGACCCATCCCCTCCCATGCTTCCTTGGCTCCCCTTGCTCCCAACACACCACCCTCCTGGGCGATACTTTTAGATCTGCCACACAAGCCCTGCCCCAGGACCACCGCACCCACGCGTTCCTCACATGGACCCCTGAGCGTCTGCAGATCGCGGCTTCTGTCACCCCTTCATTCAGTTAGCTGCCTTTTCAAAGGCAACTGGCCCAGGCAAGTGTTCCCTGACAAGTCCATATAAACGGTCAGCCCATCACTCTTTATTCCTTTTCTTTTCTTTTTAAAATCCTTTTATAGGGGGCTCATGCAACTCTTGCCACAATCCATACATACATCAACTGTATAAAGCACATTTGTACATTCATTACCCTCATCATTCTCAAAACATTTGCTCTCCACGTAAGCCCCTGGCATCAGCTCCACATTTTCCCCCCTCCCTCCCCACTCCCCTCCCTTAAGAACCCTTGATAACTTATAAATTATTATCTTGTCATATTTTACACTGTCCAAAATGTATAACCTTCTGGAATCGTATACTTTCTTGCTTATTTGTTCGTCATCTGTCTGCCACGGTAAGAAGGAGTCCTGGTGGTGTAGTGGGTTACACATTTGACTGAGATCCTCAAAGTTGGGAGTTCGAAACCACCAGTTACTCTAAAGGAGAAGATGGGGCTTTTTACTCCCGTTGACAGTTACAGTCTTAGAAACTCACAGGGCCAGTTCTATCCTGTGCAACAACATCACTGTGAGGCGGCATTGACTCAATGGCAGTGAGTTTAGGAGTTGGTCACTCACTGCTAGAGCAAGGCGTTGGATTTGCTCACGGCTGAATTCTCAACCCCTAAACCAGTACCTGACACAAAGCTCCACAGAATGCTGTGAATGAATACATGGAGAGAAGGGGGGCTCTTCACGGAGGGCTCTACCACAAGTGGCAGAGAACTGAAGAAGGCAGAGTCTTAGAAGAGCCTCTAGCTTTGGTGGGAAGGCTTCCCAGACCCCCAAAAAGCCAGTCAGGAGGTGGGTGGGATTCCTACAGGAGTTCTTGGCCCATGAAAGCCCATTTGCTGAGAGGAAGGTGTGGGCAGCAGATTCAGGTGGAGACAGAGAGAGGCCCGGTGGGACTGGTGGGTGCTGGAAGTGGTGGTTGAGACAGAGACCCCAGGGGTGGCTGCCTTCTGTCTCCAATCTCCCCAGTGGTCTTGGAGGATGTGCCTTCTTGATCTCTTTAAATTCTCAACGTCACCACAATCACACTCAGAAATTTCTAACACGATCCTCAAATTGACAAGGTGAGGAAGCTGAGGCTTAGGGAAGAGGCCCGACTTCCACAAAATCATTTAGGAGACTGTGCAGTCTCAACTCCAACGTGCAGTCTTTGATTCACAGACTGCACTCTCAGAGCCAGCACGGATCCCGGCATCCTCCTCGGTGCTGAGTTCTGTGTTGATGCAGGGCAGCACTTGGAGAGGAGGAAACAGCCCCCTGGAGAGCGCTGTCTTCTCGCGTCAATAACCCAAAACTCACTGCCATTGAGTGGGTGCCTACTTACAGGGAGCCTGTAAGACAGAGTACAACTGCCCCTGTGGGTCTCAGAGGCTGCAGCTCTTTCCAGGACTGGAGTCCTGTTTTTCTCCGTGGGAGCGTTTCTAAGGGCCTTCCTTGGGGATGGCAGTGCAACTCATATCCACTATGCCATCAGAACCCCCTCAGTTGACTAGACCAAACCAAAAAAACCTAACTCACTGCCGTCGATGCTGGCTCCTAGTGACCCTATAGGGCTGCCCCTGAGCTTTCTAGGCGAGCTCTGCCCCTGAAACCTAGACATTGGTACTAGCTGCTGCGGCAACACCTGTGTTGAAATGGGCGTGAGTCAGCCTCCCTCCCTGCAGCTGCGGAGGGCAGCATCGGGGCTCCGACAGATTCCTGCACAGCTTTAACAGTAACCTCCAGTCCCATCTATATGCGAGTTCGTTCCTAAGCGTCCCTGAGAAGATGCACTGGCCCGCAGCCCTCTGAGTGACTCCCGGGACAGTTACAAACCAAGTGACCCGACTGCCACGTCCAGTTTGTTGCAGGCTCGTTCCCTTCTTTGGGCGAATCTCTGTCTCCGCCTGTGTCGTTTTCTGCTGACCTTTGGGAGCACATTTTCATCTCGCTAGCTGAGCTCTGAGTGCATCTCCCGCGGCCCGTCAGTCCCGCTCCAAATCTCTCCCAAGCTGATTCCTGCCCTGCCCTGCTGGTGGCTTCCCCATAAATCGGTGCACTGAGATGGACGCGGAGTCAGCCTGAAGCCAAGCGCACAAGGCCAGCATTCCCCGCGGGCACTGGAGTCTGGTGCCAAGGAGCGCTGGCAAGTGCACGGCAGGGAGTCAAGCGCAGCACCTCCCCGGCTTCCCTCCCAGCCTAGGGTGGGGCCGAGGCGCGCGCGCGCGCGCGCGCGAGTGTCGTGGGGCGGGGGCAGGACGCTTGCTGGCCCCTGCGACCACACAGGGGACCCTGAGCTCCGCCCCATCCCGCTCCTATTGGCCTCAGGCGCCCCCGCCCCCCGCCGCCTGCTCCCGGCTCCCGGCTCTTGGGCTACTACGGGATAAATAGCCGTGGTCGCCGGGCACGGAGCTTGGGGTGCAGGAACCCCGGGGCACGGCCGCTGCTTTGCTTACGACGGGTCGGACGGGCAAGGGCGGGGCGGGGTGGGGGACAGGAGGGTGGATCGTTGGGTTCCCTAGCTTCCAACTGTCCTCCGACAGTTCCCCTCAAGTTACGGTGGGCTGGGCGGGGCCACGACTGCAATATCCCCAGCCGGGACATGGAGTTGCTGTCGCCGCCCCTGCGCGATGTGGACTTGGGCCCAGACGGCTCGCTCTGCTCTTTTGCCACCGCCGACGACTTCTACGATGACCCGTGCTTCGACTCCCCGGACCTGCGCTTCTTCGAGGACTTGGATCCGCGCCTCGTGCACGTGGGCGCGCTCCTGAAGCCCGAGGAGCACTCGCACTTCTCGTCCGCCGCGCACCCGAGCCCGGGCGCGCGCGAGGACGAGCATGTGCGCGCGCCTAGCGGGCACCACCAGGCGGGCCGCTGCCTGCTCTGGGCTTGCAAGGCGTGCAAACGCAAGACCACCAACGCTGACCGCCGCAAGGCCGCCACCATGCGCGAGCGGCGCCGCCTGAGCAAAGTCAACGAGGCCTTCGAGACGCTCAAGCGCTGCACGTCGAGCAACCCCAACCAGCGGCTGCCCAAGGTAGAGATCCTGCGCAACGCTATCCGCTACATCGAGGGCCTGCAGGCGCTGCTGCGCGACCAGGACGCCTCGGCCCCCGGCGCCTCGGCCGCCTTCTACGCTCCGGGCCCGCTGCCCCCTGGCCGCGGCGGCGAGCACTACAGCGGCGACTCGGACGCGTCCAGCCCCCGCTCCAACTGCTCCGATGGCATGGTAAGGCTCGCACCCAGGACCCAAGGGCACGGCACGCGAGGGCAGCTCTCTGGCAGGACACCAGGACGTGCCTCGGAGGGCGGGGAGCTGGCCCTTCCCAGGGCGGGCCCCTGTGTCCTGGTCAGCTGTCGCTGAGGTCCTAGTAAAGCGCTGGGTGGGTGGGGGTAGTGCGCAGGAGGAAAAGATACTTAGCTGGGGACACTAGGCGACATGCCTTTTAGCCATGGAGCCCAGTCGCCCAACCGCGGGTTGGGGGCCTTAGGTGAGCGTCCATCCTCCGTTCGGTGCCCCTGGGACCTCGTGGCACTGTGTGGACCTCAGTCCCTGCCCCACCCCACCCCCACCCCTAGTTCCCAGCTAGGGTTCCCCCAGCCTGCACAACTGAGTCGGGGGGGGCGGGCGGGGCCATCCAAGTGGCGCTGGGGTCTGATGGTCGCCCTCACGGTTTGCAGATGGACTACAGCGGCCCTCCGAGCAGCGGCGCCCGGCGGCGGAACTGCTACAATGCCACCTACTACAGCGAGGCGCCCAGCGGTACGTATCGCTCTTCCCCGGCACCTCGCGCGCCGCCTGCCCACGCCCCCTTTCCAGCTTCTCTCCAGGACCCCCCTGTCCCCTACACACTCCCACTGTGCAGGGGCGCGGATCTCCTCGCTGGTCACCTTCCCCTCCAGCATGCGGAATCGGGCTCCGCCCCTCTTCCTCACACCCCCCCCCCTCCGTTTCCCTCCTGCCCCCAAGCGCTGGACCCTGGGGTGGGGGTGAGGGCCCGGAGACAGGGCACGGCACCCCCCCTTACACTAATCCCCCCCTCCCCGCCCAGAAGCCAGGCCCGGAAAGAGCGCTGCCGTGTCCAGCCTCGACTGCTTGTCCAGCATCGTGGAGCGCATCTCCACCGAGAGCCCCGCAGCGCCCGCGCCTCTGCTGACCGACGCGCCCGCGCCAGAGTCGCCCCTGGACCCGCCCGAGGCGACCCCGCCCAGCGCCCCCAGCCCGCCCCCGGACGGCGCCACGCAGGGCCCTGAGGGCGCGAACCCTAACCGGATCTACCAGGTCCTGTGAGCCGGAGGGCGCCGCCGCTGCCCACCTGCCAGAGGGATGGTACCCCAGGGGTTCTCGCGCCCCAGAAGATTGCGCCTAAGTGCCTCCCCTCCCCCAACGCGACCCCTCCCGAGGTGGGGGCGGCGGGAGAGAGAACTGAAGTGTTGCCGCCCCTGGCCCGCCAGGACCAGGACCAGGACGCAGTCCGTTTGCTCCAAGCAGCCCTTTCCCGAGCGCCGCGGCGACGGCGGGTGGGAATTCGCAGCGGGCCAGCGCGGATTCTGGAAGGTCTTCCTTCCGCAGCCCTGTCCCCGGGCGGGGTGGAACCCGCGCGGAGCAGAAGTCGCCAGGAGTGCCCGGGAGTGCCTGGGAGGTCCTGAGCGCCCGCTCCTTCTGATGGCCCGCAGGGTGTGCTCCAGCCCGGGAGGGTAACAGGTGTAACCGTGGCCTCCCTCTTGCCACCCCCCTTCCCTGGTTCAGGACCACTTTTTGTAATACTTTTTGTAATCTATTCCTGTAAATAAGAATTGCTTGGCCAGAGCAGGAGCCCCTAGGGCTATATTTATCGCTGAGGCATGGTGTGCGGTGCGACAGGGACTTTGTATGTTTCTACAGCAGGCGGGCGGGCCCAGGGCGTGCGCTCAGGCGTTCGAATAAAGATGCTATTTATAGGGCGGCGACTCAGACCTTCGCTGGGGACACGCGCGGGGCGGGGGGCGGGGGAGCAGAAGGAGGGAGGGGAGTCGACCCCCAGGAAAATCCGCAAGCTGGGCGAGCTGCCCCGCAGCGCCCCTGTAGGCGGCAGACGGATTTTAAGGAAGGAAACCGGCTGGCAAGGATGGAGGGGTGCTCTGGAGTCGTGTGTGTGTGTGTGTGTGTGTGTGTGTGTGTGTGTGTGTGTGTGTCTCAGGGTGTCCTCTCACCTTCACATCACCACGGGGGGAGAGGGGGGCGTCAGGATGCCGGTTAGGTTATTCTGGGTGATTAAGAAGACACCCAGACCTTAGCCAGCCCTCTGGAGATTTCTGTTTTATCTCACAAAGCTCCTCAGTGACTCTGAAGTACATACAAGGTTGGGGAGTCAGGGCCCTCCGTAGACCCAGAGGTGACCCAGACATCATGTCCAGAGGAGCACAACAACCTCATATCTGCAGGGTGGGATCTAGGAGGAATCGATCAGCTAGAGGAGTGTGGAGAAGCACAGGTGTCAGGCCCCTACACAGGTGCTGAGGGATAGGTGTGACAAAGGGACAGGCTGGCACAGAGGACTCCTCACCCAATAACCCCACGCTGGGCAGACCCCAGCAGGCACGGTCGAAGGGCTCCCAAGGCAGCTGGATTGGGGACCTGTGAGGAGAAGGGACATGCCAACAGCATAAGGCATGGGCCAGAGTTCTCATCAGAGTGCCAAGTCTCTGGGAACAGAGGAAGGGGACAATTCTTGAACCAGGGTGCTGGGAGGCCTTCTGGAAGAGTCGCCATTTGAGCTATCTTGAGAAACCTGATAGACAGCACACTCAGAGTGCTCACAGGCCCACGAGGGAGAACCCGCACACACCCAGAGGCTTTATGTCTCCCTCTGGACTCAAGGTCCCTGCGAGGGATGGCCTAGCAAGGGGCCTCCTCCACACCATACCACACACATTCCTGCCAGCGGACTTGAGGGCGTCCTATATCCCACCCTAACAAATCCTCGTTCCTTGAAGACCCTGTGGTCCCATTCCCAAGGGTCCGCTCACCAAGGCGGGGACACCAGGAATGTAGACAAGATGTAATGCCAGCAGGAAGGGCCTTAGCACGTGTCTGAAGACCTGTTCAGCTGCCTCTCCTCTCCCCACACAGGGTCCCCAAGGAGCTGCCCAGAGCTGCTCTGTTCCTGAGCATCCTCAGCTCATCTGCTAGCTGCTTCCGCAGATGCCCCCTGGGATCCTTTACACTCCTCTGGGGATCATTTATGAGTTTATTCATTCAACAGATGCCAGGGCCTGTGCTGGGTGCAAACAGAAACTACTGGACATCGTTGCTGCCCTGGGGCAGCACCCACACTCGTACATGTGTGGGACTCAGACCAGTGGGTACATCACAGTGAATTGAGGGCTACAATCGGCAGGGCAAGCCGGGTGGGGTGGGGGTAGAGGTGTTATGTAGCACAGGAGCAGAGTGGAGGGTTTTTAACCACCCTGGGGGAGGTAGAGAGAAGCAGGTAAATTGTGATAAGACCCTTGATAGAGTTCATTAGGAAAGGGGGCCAAAGAAGGGTGCTTCCGAAGACACAGCAAGGGCAAAGACTCAGATGGGAGAGAAAGCAGACAGTGACTTCTTGGAACTAAAACTGCTCATGGGAATTGGGGGTGGGGTGGGAGAGGTAAGATGGACAGATTGCAGAAGGAGGGCCATAACACATCATGAAATATATTGAGAAGCATGGGTTTTATCCTGAGGGCTGTAGCAAGCCACAAAGAAATCGAACTGGGCGGGACACAAACAAATCTTTTGGAAAGACCTGGGCTTGCAGAATGAAAGGAGACTCGAGGCAGGAAGATCTATGGGGAGATAGCAGGGTTGCTCAGAGGAGCTATGACGTGGTTGGACTGGGACGGACCGTGACTGGGGCTGGAGAGGAGGCATAGGATTGGAGACAGTTAGGCCAAATAACTGTAGGTATTGAGGTGAACATGGAGAATATCAAGACCATAATCCTGGCCCTCACAGAGCTTACAATTAAGTAAGGGGAAGAGGTATTGGATTATAATGACAATTTAGACAAATCCATGTTGGTCTAATGATTAGACCAACAACCAATGAGTATTATAAACATCATTATAAACATCAAAATAAGGTATATAAAATTTGTATACCTTAAATAAATGATAAGGTAAAAGGCGCAATGAGAGATGATCGTGGTGGATGAGAAATTAGGAGACTAGATGAAGAGAGTGAATAGAGCAGGTGCAGAGCTTCCTACACTATCACTCTGCATACAGGAAGAGGGCCCAATATCCTGTAGGCAGCCAGTGTGCAATCAGAAAATGGAGAAAGGGAGTCCCTTCTACCCCAGGAACATTGCCCTGCCTCAGGGTTCATAGTTTAGGCAAACTGAGAGCAAGTTGGACTTCAGTGGGCATTCTTGGGCAGTGAATAGCTGTGTAACTGTGTATGAAGGCCTGGTGGAGAAGAAGGGGGGGGGGGGGAGAGGAGCCACGGATGGTTTCTTCTGAGTGGGTAGGGGTGGACTTCAGGAAGAGAAGCAACTACAGGGCACGGATTTAGTCCAAGACACCAATAGAAACTTAATTCAAACTAGCTTAAAGACAAAGCGAGGTGCCTGGGGACATAGACCTGTGGAAGGAGAGCGACAGGCACCACCGCAGATGTTCTAGGAGCCTGGGGAAGCGGACCTGGAGCTCCCCTTGTTCCTACACACGTCCCCTCCTCCGCGTCTCCTCCTGGCTTCATGTTTGTCTGGCCCATGCCAGCCGCTGTCACTGACTGAGGCATTCTCTTATCTCACCTTAAGTTCCAGTCAGAAAATTCCCAAGGAAGAGTAGGACCAATTGAGGAGGTCCTGAGCCAGATTCGAGACTTTAGAGCAGTGGTTCTCAACCTTCCTAATGCCTCAACCCTTTCATACAGTTCCTCCTGTTGTGGTGACCCCCCCAAGCATAAAATTACTTTTGTTGCTACTCCATCACTGTCATTTTGCTACTCTGATGAATTGGGCAACCCCTGTGAAAGAGTCATTCAACCTCTAAAGGGGTGGAGACCCACAGGTTGAGAACCGCTGCTTTAGAGCCTGCTCTCCAGGCTGACATGCCCAAGGCTGCCAACAGGGAAGGTCAGAAGGGAGAGGAGCAGCCATAGATTGGATGACACCTTGACTGATGGGATTTGAATTCCTCCCCTGCCCGCCTGCCCTTCACTGAAGTCCCCTCAGGAGACAAGAGCAGTTGGCGGAGCTCCATTCCATTTGCAGTAAAGATTGAGCATCCCTGGTTCATGGGGCCATTTTTCACCTGAGATGCACCTGAAGAAGCACCAGGAATCCCCTCTTTCTAGCACCCTCTGCATTTGTCCTTACACATACACGCTTTTTTTAAATATTAAAATATCATTTTATTGGAGGCTCTTACAACTCTTATAGCAATCCATACATCAATTATATCAAGCATATTTGTACATAGGTTGCCATCATTCTTTTCTAGACATTTACGTTCTATTGCGCCCTTGGTATCAGCTCCTCTTTTTTTTTCCAGCTCCTCTTTTTCCCCTCCCTCTCCCACCCCACCCTCGTGACCCCTTGATAAAATATAAATTATTATTTTCATATCTTACACTGACTGCTTTTTCCTTTCCCCCTTGGTTTCTATTGCCCATGCCCCTGGAGGGGTGTGTGTGTGGTTATGTATCGATCATTGTGATCGGTTCCCTCTTCCTCCCCTCCTCTCCTTACCTTCTCCCTACCCTTCTGGTATTGCTATTCCCATTGCTGTTTCTGGATTCCATTTGTCCTGAGCTCTTAGCGCTTATCTGTACCTGTGCACATGCTTAGGAAGCTTCAGCCTTTGGGGGCGTGCTCTGGGTACATGTGTTGTTGTCAGAAGCATATGTGTATGTTAACCCATCAGTTATGTCCCTTGTTTCTTTCTATTCCAACTTCTCCTTTTGGAGGATGGCATTGATAGGCATTGTAGGGTCCTGTCTAAAGGTGTACACTTCATTTGAGATGAGCGGAAAGTATCTAAGCTGTTTCTAATCATTCTGTGTATCAAGAAGTTCTTGGTAAGCACAAATGGACAAGTACAACATAAGTCCACTGAGGTAAGCTTTAAAAAAATTGTAAACGAGGCACAAGGAAAAAGCTACTATATACAAACATTCCTGGAGTGAGGACCAAACAGTATGGCAGGGACCAGAACAAATCCAGGGATACATATGATAGCCAACTAAAAAGGAGGTGGGGAAAGGGGGAAAAAAAGAAAAAAGAAATGGGTAGTGGGGGCACAGGGCACTAACCCACCCAA